ACAAACACAAAATATAAACACATAAAATTTTATTTTGGATGCGATTGATCGTGATCAATTGTTGCCCAGCACTAATTTAAATACATATTTTATTAAAAATAGATATTATAATAATTAAATATATATATATTTTATTATGATTGCTATGACTATGAGCTTAATCACATCAATGTGATAGAAGTATTGCATTTACATGAGGTTAAGTTTAATTGTAATAGCATAATGAGGGTGCTTGTAAATATACTCATTGTATTTGCATGCCAAAGTTTTAGAACGAACCAGTAGCTTATTTCTAAAATTTCTCTTTTTGCATTCAAATGGAGGAAAAAGTCAGGTGAATTTGGAAGGACACGAGAGTGAGTAAATGATGACCAGTTTTGAATCGCTGCGGCTGAAGTATCACTTTGAATGGAACAGAGAAAAAAAGAAAGCGTTTGACTGCCTCTATTCTGCCGCTTCTTGATTTGAGATCTCAAACCGAAACCTGTTATTTATCAATCAAGAGCCAATCTTAGCTCCCCTTTCTTGTAAGCATCAACAGTAGCCAGAGAGCGATACCAGTAGCTGATGGGGGCGATAAACCTCTGATCTGTGGAAACATGGTGTCCCACTGCTACAGCAATGAAGGCGATGAGAGCAGATAAGCCATTATGCCAGCCTCGGCTTGTCAGCTGTATTGTGTTCTTCCTCATAAACCTATTCAGTAATTAAGCACCTGTTTGTTAAGTCAAGCTCCAGGAAAATACGCACACAGGTGTCGGACAGCCGTATAACAGCCCGATTCGCAAATGGTTTTTCAATCAGTGGAGTCATGATCGGATGGAAGTTGGAACCGACATCCTAATTTGTAGAATGTCATACGGCATGATGAAAATGTTTTAATTCAAGGAAGGGAAATTTCCAGTCTTGCTCATAATGAAAGAATATCCTGATTTAAAGCTGTTCCACTTAAAAAAAAAAAAGTTAATTTTAAAAGTAGAACATTGTAATCCTATGGAGTAATGCAGAGAGAATACTCTCAAGTGTAGATCATTTTTGCCCTGTCTAGTCTTCTAACTCAGTTGATTATTTTACCAACAAAACTTTACTTTTGATGTGTCCATCTAACTTGCACTTTGCATGGTTAGGTGAATGCAATTTGTTTCTTTTGGCCAAACATCAACAGAGAACAACTGGACGTGCTCCACTCAAAACAGTCTTCGACTTATGCAAATGTTTTGGAGGAGTAAGGTCTGCGTTCACGACTATGTTTAGTGAACTTTGATACTTGCTGATAATATAGAGCACAGACCTCTAATCAAACAGAATCTCCAGATAGCAACTAAAATAGTTGCAAATGGGACAAAAAAAAAGCAATAATATTTGAATATGTAGTCAACACTATAGTATGATAGTCGGGAAAACTTTGTGCACATTTGTATTAGGTTTCATCAAAGATCACCCTGATAGCATGCATAATTATCTTTCAGCACGGAATGACAAACAGCGCAAGAAGATGACTGTATTAATCTGAAATTTTTAATAAGTCTGTCAAGGTTTTTGAAATAAATTAACAATAGAATTTTAAAAGTATACATATGAAGAGTTCAGATGCAAAAGCCTCTAAATGCCATTTGAAATTTTCTTCTTTAATGATGATTTTTATCAAACTTGTATATTTAAGTTCAGTAATTTCACTTAAATAACAATTAATAGGTAATTATCATTGCCATTTAAGTGAAATCACTGAACTTAAATATACAAGCTTGATAAAAATTATCTTTCTAGAAGAAAATTTCAAATGGCACTTAGATGCTTTTGCATCTGAACTCTTCATATATTATTATTATTGCATATTTAATATTATTATGTATTTTTTATTATTTAAATTATATTATTATTGCACATTCAATATTATTATGTATTTTTTATTATTTAAATTATATTATTATATAATAACAACCCTCTTAATCAAGTAATCAAATGGGTTTCATCAAATGGCATTTGGCTTGAAAAAAAAAAGTTTTTGTTAAAAATATATGTTCCTCATTTTCATGATGAAATTGAGGTATTCTGTTATATGTTTGCCTACTATCTTGCCTTTTCTTCGGGCATTGGCTGTTCTCGCTCTGTTTAGGTCGTAAACAGCTTCTCCTTAAAGGCGGAAGTGTTGCGTTTCAGTGATAAGTTTATCAGCTCCTGGGGGTGTTAGAGAAGCAAGCAACAGTGGGGCCATAAAACTTGCCAAAAAAAACACTACAGAAACCACCTCATTCTCACCCATACAAGTTAATTTGGAAGTAGCAACAAATTTATGGACAACATAGATCCATATTTAGCTTGTACAGCAATAATATACAATTGATGCATATAAAAAGAGGCGCCCTTATGAAGTTCTTTCTCACGGAGGGTTAATCAATTTACATACCCTTTTCTCAGTGCGCTCACTGAAACACAAAGCAATCATTGTGGCTTCATTTGTGTGTTTCTGCCGGCAACACATAATGCACTCATCAGCAGCACGGAGCAGCAGAATATTGACTTCCCGTTAAACAAAACACATTATCTTCCATCTGTCATTATTTGAATTACATATGCCCACGAACGCAACTTTCCTAATACACTGCTCTAAAAATACTCAAAATGCGAATTTTTTTGCTAGACATAATTTTCTAGCTGCACCCGTATTAAATAAAACTCACCGGAGACCTGGTCACGGTGTACGGAAAATGAAGTACACAGTTTATGTGAAAGGGCTTCAGACATCACAGGGCTGATCAAATTTTACTCAATGTACTCGTAAGTTGGTGAGCTGTACGCTGAATAATGTGATTAGTTTGTTGAAATGGGCTACCTGACACCAGTGAACTCACAGCTTCAAGCATTCTGAGATTGAAGTCGCTCAGAATTACTTTAAGTTGTTCCTTTCTCTTCGCCTGTGCTGTTTGGTCTCCACTGCAACCTTTTTTACTCACATCAAGTCTGTCGTGCTCCTTGTCCCCAAGAGAAAAAAATATCTGTACATTTGTGATGTCAAATGTGCGTATATAGATACAGTTTCATCAGTTAAGACTCTCACGCTATAATATGTAAAGAGTTAGTAATGCTTAATTCTATGATTAAAAAAATGTAATGCACAACAAAAGTGCCCTCTATTCAGTGGGACTGTGTTGAACCAACCAACAATTTTTTTGGCTATTTATTTAGTTTTCTGATGTGAGAAAGATGGCATTATGCTCTCTTTTTATTCTCCTCAACTCAAAATGCCAAACACCTAAGATTTCTCTGTCCTGTGGTGTACATGGCTGTTTGAATGTGAGATGTGTGTGTGTGCATTGTTTCCACTTCATTGTGGCTAGGAAATATCTCCAGGGCTTGCCCACCCAGTCCCTAACAGCTGCTGTAAACCCTGTACTGTGATAGTCAAGTGTGTCTCCCCCATTCTAGGAAAAGGATTTCCTGAAAAGCTTCTATATACAAAGCAAAACCAATTCTGATATCCAATTCCTATTTTAGTGAATCAAAAATCCTATAGTCTTTTTTTTCTTTTTCTTTTTTTTAAATATATATATTTTTTTAATCTGTGACATCAGAGCACTGACAGTGTTTTTATTTTAATAAAACAATGTTTTGTTTTTGTTGTTAGGAAATAAATACTTATTAAATATTCCACATTAAATATTCCGTGTTGCAGAAGCTCTGTGTTTGTACAAAAGAAAACCCACAAAAACTTAAAATTTGCCTCTTCCAGCGAGTCATTAAAGTAACTACAATATTTTCTGGATAAAACCCTACAATTATCGGATCACTATTTACATTGTTAATCCGACAGACTAGAAAATGTTCCAAATGCAAACACATTATGAAATGATTATCTTTTTGGATAATTTAGATCTTTAATGAAACAAGAGATTGATATTAAAAAGTGTGTGTCTCTTTGTGTTGGGATGGGGTTTACATTTGTAAACTCTTTACTTGGTGTATTTTTTTTTCTTGCTTCTATTTTTGATTTCTAGGGAATGCACTGTTATTCTTGCTGCTAATTGTCTAGGTGACACTCAAAAGCTACACAGAAATAAGTATTAGTGTCGTGACTATTTTTGAGACAGGTACATTTCAAGATCATGTTTTTTAGAGTCTGTTTTTCATATTTGTACAAGTAAAGATATTTTATACAAAGAAGTTACTTAATCATTATCAACAATTTAAACTCCAACCAAATAAACAAATAGGCAAGTGTGTCTCTTTTTAGATGGTCGGTTCTCTTGGGCATTTAAGAGAAAGAGCTAGATTTAGAGCACATGGTTTCTCTTTCATATCAGAGCTTGTGTCCTGTCCATTCCTCATACCTTTCTGCTGACATGCGTTCTTTTAAAGATAATCTTCCTTTATGCCCGTTTTGCTAATACAAATGAAGTGTTGTAGCTCCCCAGAGGAACCTAATTAGGTTTAACTGGCCCTCGTTTCTGTGTATCCCAGCTATAAACACAAGGAATTATTAGCTTAAACCTTGTATTTCTTCCCACTACACAAACTTCATCTGGCTGTTTTACAAACCACCATTAGCAGTACCATAACAAGCCATTTATTTTTGCGTGAAATGTTGTACACATCCAATCGCGCTGTAACCCAAGACAACTTCAACAACTTTGCCCTGCTCAACCTTGACGCACTTTTCACAGGGCTGTATCCCCCCTGAGAAAAGTCACCACAAGCGCATTCACAGGTTTAGGTCACCTGATTACAGCAGGTTTAAAATTCACTGGACATGTGATATTGAGCAATCTGACCCTACTGACATTGATTCAGGGAAATTGATTTAAGTCCTAATCCTGGATGCGTAATAAAGGAGCACATACAGTTTTGCTCTTCTGAGCTTCTTGGAAAATTTATCGGACGCATTGTACAAACTAAAATAAATCTCAACAAGGTGAAGTATAAAGGAAAGTGTAACACTCTTTATCCACAGGTAGTCTTCACGTATACACTTGACGACACAGAAGTAAGAGAATGGGACTCACAACTCCGTCTCCGGCTCGGAGAAATCACTGAAGAACGTGCGTCCGTTGGAGTGCGGTGGTCCCGGCGACGGCTCCTCGCTCCTGTAGCTGCTCTGGCTGCTCCCTTCCCCAGGCAGTGCCCCTGGGGATGTGGGGGGCTTCTCGAACGATCCAGGCATTCCCGACTCTGCGGAACCCAGGAAGCAAGTGCATCGAGTCCGAAGCTCCTTGTAAAGGAAGTTCATTCTCAGCGGGGATACCCAGGGACAGCCGAGAAGGTTCTTGAAGGCCGCACGAAACTCTGGGCTGCGGCAGTAGATGATGGGATTGAGGCTGGAGTTGATGTAGCCTAACCAGTTTAAATATCGAAAAACATACATGGTTAGCAGATCTCGATTGAAAACATTGATGATGTTCGCCACGAAGAAAGGCAGCCAGCACAGTGTGAAGATGCCCATGATGATGCCCAGCGTCTTGAGGGCCTTGTGCTCCTTCACAGCGGTTAATTTGGACGGTCGCCTGCGGGAACTTTTCCGCCTTGCCGTCATCCCACCGACGTTATTGCACATCGAAGGCAAGTTGTTGTTGCCATGGACCTGATTTCCTATGCACTCGTTTTGGAACCTCAGGCGGTTATTGCCAATGAGCTGTACCTGTCTTGTGGCGACGAGGAAGACACGTGCATAGACAAAAATCATGATGAGTAGTGGGATGTAGAACGAAATCCCTGATGAAAATATAGCAAAGGCCATGTTTGTATCAAAAGCACAGGTGTCTTTGTAATTGTCTGTGTCATTTTTGTTTCCTGTATCGGCCCCAGCATGCCAGTCGTTCATGATTGGGACGAAGGAGATTAGAGCTGAGAGCAGCCACACGACACAAACGATAATTCGAGCCCTGCACTTATTCAGGAGCACTTTATACCGCAGTGGCCGCATGATCGCAATATACCGATCCACTGCGATGATGCAAAGGGTCTCTATACTGGCTGTGACACATAAAACATCAACCGATGTCCATAATCTGCACGGTACCTCACCAAGTGTCCATTCCCCTTTTACAACAATCATGGCAGCCAGTGGCACCACCACCACCCCCATTATGAGGTCAGCACATGCCAACGACATAATGAAGATATTCGTCGTGGTCTGCAGCTGGGAGGTGCGTGCTATGGCGATGATGACCATAAGGTTACCCACAACGATAATCGCGATGATGATGATCATGATGAACAGCTGAAATGATGTCCACCCTTGAAGAGGTGCACTTGTTGGCACAGGGGTTGTTTGAGAGCTGTTTGTCAGAGATTCCATGTTTCAGTATTCAGAGATCAATGTTTGTGATTTTTCAAACTGTATGTCAGAAACGAGCAGCGGCAAAGAGACATAGCTAGGTGCTATTCGGTCTTCAGTCGAGTGATTGAGATACCATGACGATGATGTATTTAATCTTGCATTTTATACCACCATATCTCCAAATGTTGAGCAACAGCATCAATTCCTTTTGGGATATTATTCAGTCATCCTGAAAAATAGTGCATATCCAGCAGTCCTGTGGCGTTTGAAGCAAACATATATGCCATGTTCCACACATCTGAACTGAAGATGTAGGAGGAAAGAAAACAAAAAGTCCCTTTTATTCTGAGTTAAAACTGGTCCGAGAGAAATGGGGGAAATAAAAATATTGTAACTTTTAGAAAAGCTCTTGAAACCAGCAGAGAAAAGGCAGATAAGCAGCCGTCGTGTTGAAGTAGTCCGCTGAAGTGGAGTTTGAGCTGAAGTGGAGGAGGTTCAGTCAGCGTGTTAACGCCGCGTGTGTGGAGCGAGCGAGTGAAGGTGCTTCTACTGCCAAAAGCTCAATGGAGCAGTGACACTGCCGACAGTCAACAGTGGGAAAGCACTCTTCCTCTCTGATAATGCTCTCTCTCTCTCTCTCTCTCTCTCTCTCTGCCGTTTAGAGTTCATGCTTTAGTTGCAGTCGCATTTCACCCAAGAGGGGTGGAGCTGTAAAGAGTGCCTCACTCCCAATATTCACACACACACTCTCGTTCTCTCTATCCAAAAAGTACACAATCGGAAAACATAAAACACTTTTTATCTTGTCTGTCACCCATCAGAAATAGACATCAGTTTTATGTACATGCAATAATTTATATGTCCAAAAAAAGGAAACACATATCATTTTAAAGCAGAGTGAACCTGTTACAATGTTAACAACATTAAAATTCACTGTAAAAAATGATTTTTTGGTGAAGTAAATACTAGTGAAAAAACCCAATGTAATTTACTTGAAAAAGTTAGTTCAGGCAAGAATTTAAAAAAAACTAAGTAAATTCCATATCACTAGTATAAATGAAAGTGTAAATATCAACTCAATAAAATTAAGTAAAAATTACTCAACTTTTCTGATACTGGGGTTCCCATCATGCGCTGGACCTTGAATAATTAATGAGGCTCATTTTTCACTGGTTTTATCATTGGTTTTTGTTGTCAGTATTAGTAAATTGCCATTTTGAGACATTTCTAGTAAATCTTTCGCTCAAAACGACACATTCAAACACAAAAACGATCCATCAGATGTTACCGCCATTGTGTATTGTCTACCAAGTATTGAGGTGTTTGCATTCACATAAGGCTTAATGTCTGACATGATGTATATAGAAATTACTTAGATGTTCTAAGTAAAGCACATACTATAAATGACTAATAAAATTCAAGATTATTGTTTTAGTAAAATGTAATACAAAGGCAAAGGAAATCGGTATTAATCAACCTTTTACAAGCCGAGTTAAAATTACTTTTTTTTTTTTTTGGAAAGTTACTTAATTCCATATTCTAAATAAATTTAACTTAAATATTTCTAATTAAAGCTACTGATAAATATGTTTAGGTTTTTACTTCGCAAATCTTTATAAATTTACTAGCATTTTCTGAGTGTGATAGTTTAGCAAGGTTTTTTCAAGTAAATCCTACTCCAAATTTTTTACAGTGTTGTAACTGTAACAACATTACAATTATAGCAGAATTACAAGATAATATATACATTATAGCTAGATTATAATATCTGGCAGTGATTCTACCAAAAGGAAGTCTTTTTTAAAAAATGGTGAATATAGCATATTTAACTCTATAGTAAGTAAATAGTAGTTATAGTATTACTAATTAATATTATTATATTATTTGAGTAAGTACAATATAACTATTTTACAATATAACTATTTTTTATTTTACTTTATTATTTGAGTAAGTACTATATAACTATTGTTTTATAACTAACATTACCTTAAAGTGTAACCTTATAGAATATGATATTATTTAATAAAAGTATTAATTAAATTGACATTAAATTAAAGTTATGATTTAATTTATTCAAATGGCAGATCATTTTATCCAATGCAACTTAGTAAACGTTTTATCAATATGTGTTTTCTCGTGGGTATTGAACCTGTTGTTGCAAATGCAAACACTTAGTTTAATTCAATTAAGAGTAAGAGGATTTAAAAAAAATCGTATAAAATTCAGGATAAATGCTTACTGTTGTCAACTTTTTTTAACTGATTAATTTGAGACAGTTAACCCATTAGCAGTTGCCAAGTGAAGATTACACTAAAAATGAGAAGCATTCAGAATTACAATTATATAAATCAATTTGTATAATGGTGTTGAAGTAATACAAAATTACTTTATATTACAGAGGCAAATTGTTTCCAGGGTTGGCGATGTCTTGGTCATGTCTTGTCTTGTCTTGGTCACCTTCTCACCCTGACAGTATAGTCACTGCAACCAGTCAGGCCTGTTCAGACTGAGCAATATCTGTTCATACCAATCTTTACTGCCTTGTCCTGGTGTTCAAAGAAACTCAGAATTGTTGTCATATGTCAAGAATTTAGTCACAAGGCTAAAGCTCTGTCAATCATGCTGTGCTCCGATTAGTTGGAGTCAAACTGATGGATGATAGTGCGTATCTACTAAAAAATCACTTTTTTTTTTTAAGGGGGGTGTTTTCTCGCCATAATAGGTTGGGATGTGTTCATGAATTATGTTACATTAGCTCAATTTAATTACCTATATTTAAAAAAAAAGCACAAATCCAGTTTTTTTTTTTTTGAAAGATGAGCTGCAAAGTCTTTCATGTTTTTAGTCATCCCACTGATATGACATTCCATTATCACATTCTCCTGTGTTCTTTTGCAGTGTTTGTCGATATGAACTGGATACCAGCTCCCTCTGGGCCGTTGTTCAGCACTAAAAATAATAGATGCTTATCTGGCCTGCGACTCACGCCAACCCGGCCGCAACCAGGAAGAACAATCAAGACAAATGCCTGGCGTGCCATTCAGCTGCGAGAATCTGGGTAGAGTTTTCACCAAGGTCTGTGTCATCAAGTACTTCCTTCCTTCTTCTGTCTCTTTCCTCCTCTCTCTCTTTCTGCCTGACATTCTCCTATTTTATTCGCACCACTCCATGAACAAGTGTGATTTCTTAGTTGCAAACCACTCTGAAAAAATAAACATTAAAAAAATACTTTAAGTGCAAATTCAATGTAATGTTCAACCTAATTGCATGTTAAATGCAATTAAATTACAATGTGTTATAGTTTAAATTACAATAAGTTGAACATGGTGTGTTTTTTGACCCACTTAGTAGGACTTAAGTACATATTTGTATGCAATTCCATAATTACTTCTATTGCATATTATGATTAAAGTGCACTGCTGAATGCAAGTAATGTATTTGTTTAAAATTGATGTTGCAATTTAGTGCGCATATTAACTTTAAATGCAATATTTAAGAACACAACAGATAAATGTGTGCATCGGACAAGAATATATCCTCTCAGACTGTCTTAACTTAATAACATTGTCAACAAAATTATACTGCAATATTGAAAACAAGGTTTACAATTAGTTCTGGTCACATGGTGCTTGATAGATGAATATAGATAAAAACAAACTGTGTTGTATTTTCTCTGCTTCCCCACAGAGTTGGCAGCATTATTCTTTCATCAGTTAAGTGAGGCTTTATTGCTTTTGCTGTTCTCTGCAGTACTTGGCAAAATTGACAGTCTAGGACATTAAGTTAGAGTTTTTATTGACATGAAGAAATTTTAAAATATCAAAGTGATTTAATGCAGCTAAAGGTCTACACTAGACTAAACTGATATGACCTGACGTGTATTATATCTCCATTGAGCATCTGAAAGTATGTCGGTGCTCATTACCTTCAGAGAAATTCTTCTGTAAACCCTGATGTGACTTTATTGCTTTATTAGATTTCAAAATGATCACTTAGCCACAAGCTTCATGCCATTCTAAATGAATTTGGGCTGAGGCTATATAAACAGGTAAAACACTATCCTCAAAAGATCTAGCGCTTTATAGTTATTTTAGACTTCTACTGGTGCCTTTTTGCTTATTGCTCAAAGATATATTGTTCAGACCTGCAGTCATAAGATTAAACATGTTTGTGTCAGTGTTATTTTAGTATCCATATATATATATATATATATATATATATATATATATATATATATAATAAACATAAACACACACACACACACACACACACATATATATATATATATATATATATATATATATATATAAACACACACACATTTTTAGTAAGTTAACTTTTAGTAAGTTAATTCTTTTGTTCAAAATTGACAAAATTTAGAGAGGCATAATGGTTTTCACCCGTGCATGTCTCGTCATATACGTAAAAAGAGAATGGTTTCGCCGGCTACTTTGATGTCTAAGAGTGGCATTGTTGTCATAACGAGCGAGAAGGGTCGACATGGAGCAGGTAAAACTCTTGAGGGAATCTCCAGTTTTATAAAACACAAACAGATGAGAGTTAGCTGGCAAAAATTTTACGTGACAGAGCTCATAATAAAACTAGCTTGGCTTTGCAGAGAGGGTGAGAATTGAGAGAATTGAAATGTAAAAGAAATGCAGAGATGGGTTTTTTTCTTACTCAACATTTTATTAAACTCAAAAATTGCCATATGTAGGCTAGTTTATTAAAATATTTTAAAGCATTATCTATTATGAATGGCATTTTTATTATGGCTTGTAATAGAGCAATGCTGGAGTTTATTTTAAAGGAAGTACCATGTTTATTAATGGGTATTGCTGCAGTATCGTTCAACTAGTCACCTTGAGATCCTTTCAATCTATTTGATTGTTTGGTCTGTTTGGTTGCACTTTATTTCGATAGTCACTTTAGACGTTCTACTAATTATAAGTAACTTTTCAACTACATGTCAACTAACTGTCATTAGAGTATTAGTATATTATAGTAGACTGTCAGTAGACTGGTAGGTTATGGTTTGGTGTTAGGCTTTGGGTTAGTAGAATAAGTTTACTTGTTGTCGCCAAGTTACTTACAGTCAGTTGAATGTCTGTTGGGGGACCAACAAAATAAAGTGTTAGCAGATATTAAGCTGACAGTCTATTAATACTCTAATGACAGTTAGTTGACATGTTGAAAAGTTATTTATATTTAGTAGAATGTATAAAGTGGACTATTGAAATAAAGTGTTACTGAATGTTTTATGAGCAGTAGGATAATCTCTCTCTTTTTTCAGTTATGAGACAAAAAACAAAACAAAAAAAAAACAGTCACATGCACACTCACGCAAAGCGCAGAAGCACGACCAAAACAATGTTCTTCTGTAAAATGAATGTTGTTTTGTTACATAGTGTACCATTAATTTTTAGTTTGTTTATTTATTAATGATTATTTTTTTGGTTCTTCAACTTAAACAACACAAACATGACAACTACTGTATCACCATGTCAACTAGATGGCTTTTATTTAATACCAGTTAATGTTTATTTTATTTCAAGAAATGAAAGTATTTTTGTTGTTAGTTTCATTTATTTATTTTTGTTTTACTTAGTGAAAACTTTTTTTTTTTTTTTTGCATTATG